GACGAAGCTTGCTTTATCATCGTGCCAAGCTTTACAAGATGATGATATTGTTTGTGAAGATGAAGTCCAAATGTTTACTGAGGAACTTAAAAAACAATCGAGATCTGGTAAGTTTAGTTTTCTAAGGAAGATAAAACAGATAACCAATGCATCAAAAACATGAGTTCGTGAACCAGTTGTTAACAAGACTACTCGTGGACGTCCCTCATTGAAGGACAAATTTTTCAGAAAACCTCATGTTGATCTGTCTTTTACAGCTAAGGTTAAACCGTCTTTTATAACTAATGTTGATCCGTCATTTACAGTTGAAAGATCCCTTAGACGTAGTTGTTCGAACGCGTCATCATTTGTTGACTTGAATGAAATAAGTTACCAGGAACCAGCGAGACATAATTCTTTCTTCAACAATAATTATACTACGCATCCATATATTAATCAATTTGCTGAAATGTTTCACCATTACATTAGACAGGTACATGATGTGAGAGGTGATGGATATTGTGGATTTCGAGCAATAGTTGTCCACCTTGGTCTTCATAAAGATGCATTGCCAACAATTCGATTTAACTTGATGAAAAGTTAAGCGCATACAAGACATAATACCTTAACATATTTGGAAGTCAATATTGGAATTAGTTTACAATATTTTTAAACTTATTTCAATCAGATCGAGGTGCCCTGGTTGAACATTGGATGACCATGCCTGAAATTGGTTTTCTGATTGCTTCAAAGTGTAATGTGATCTTACACGTTATAGACATTACAGGTTGTTCAACATACTTACCGCTTATGTCTATTCCGCCACCGTGGTATCAACATGTAAGTTTTACAATTGGGTATGTTAATCGTAACCATTATGTGAAACTAGACTTGACAGAAGGATATCTGATCCCTACTGTTACTCCACATTTTTTTTCATTTTTGCTATCCGTGTACTGCTGCATGGGCTACCCTGTATTTAGATTTAATAAATAAATACCAACAACTTTTATGTGTTAACTGTACTACATATAATGTTATTTTAGAATAAGTAAAAATGTAATATAAACTATGTCACGTCTTATTTATATATCAAATCTTATTTTTTATGTTTTATTTTTATAATTATATAGTTATTTAGAAAAATAATAATAATATTTATATTAACTAGAAGCGTACTCGCGCAATGCAGCGAGATACATC